CCCATTTCTGCATACCACCCTTTCTCCCCCAGTTCTCCAGGCACTAGTCCTGACACCAGATCTTAGGGGAGGCCTTGCTAAGATGGTGTCTGGAAATTGTGGGGAGCCCCACCTGGAGTGCCACATGTTACCTGGGAAACTGGGGGGCCCTTCTCGAGATTCTTTTTTTTTTTTTTTTTTTTTTTTTTGGTTTTTCGAGACAGGGTTTCTCTGTGTAGCTTTGCGCCTTTCCTGGAACTCGCTTTGGAGACCAGGCTGGCCTCGAACTCACAGAGATCCGCCTGGCTCTGCCTCCCGAGTGCTGGGATTAAAGGCGTGCGCCACCACCGCCTGGCGAGATTCTTAATCTCATTAGTGATAGAATTTAAGAACAGACTTAGAGGAAAGCTTGTGGGCAATTTTATTGGAGTTTGAAAGAGGAATCCCAGGGCAGGCAAACTAAATCTAAGCAGCTGCGCACAAGAGGGAGGAGGAAATGGGAAGAAGGAAGCCATTCCATTCCAAAATTAATGGGAGAGGCTTGGACGGTCACTCTCTCTTATTTCATTCTCTTTTTCTAACGAAGAAAAGAACAGACAAAAGTTATCACATGCCTAAGGCACACAGTATTAGGTTCCTTAATTTCTTTTCAAAAAACATTTAGTGGGTAAAATAAACAGCATTGATGAGCTGCACAGCTGAATTGAGAGAAGAGTATCTAGAAGGCACCATTAAATTATAAAGTTTTAATTGTGGTGATAATCATGAGCCAACTAATTGTAACTTGTCAATTAAACAGATTGCTTTTCCCTGCAGACTTGGAGGAAAATGAGGCCAGCAGCCACAAGGGAAGCTCAGGCGCTGCTGGCAAACCTGTGTAGCTCTCATACTTGCCATACTCTACAGTGGACACAGAAGGGAGGGAAGGAACACAGTAAGGGAAAGACTGTAAGATATTAAAAATGGTTGCTGTCCTTCAGCTGTCGTTTTGAGGGGGATATAGATTTATAACCATAGCAACCTCCGGTGGAGACATGTACAAAACAACATACCACCATCAACAGTGTATTGGTGCCAGTAACACAGGAAAGTGTTTGTGGTGGTTTGAATGAGAATGGTCTCCATAGGCTCATAGATTTGAATACTTGGTCACCAGTAGGTAGAACTGTTTGGGAAGGATTAGGAGGTGTGGCCTTGTTGGAGGAGGTGTGCCACTGTGGGGTGGGCTTTGAGGTTTCAAAAGCCCACACCTTTCCCAGTTGGCTTTCTGTGTCTTGTGCTTGTGGATCAAGATGTTAGCTCTCAGCTGTTGCTCTTGTGCCATGCCTGCCTTCCTGCTGCCATGATTCCCACCATAACCATCATGGACTCTAACTCTCTGAAACTATAAGCCCCAGATAAACACTTTCTTCTATAAGTTCCCTTGGTCATGCTGTCTTATCACAGCAATAGAAAAGGAACTAAGACAGTATTTTTGTCATATTCAATCTTTTGGTCCTCATGCTGCTCCCAGTGATGCAGGTAGGATGGTGTAGAAGTTAAGGCAATGCATTCTGGCCTGGGGAGCTAGCAACTTCAAGAGTATGAAAGGATGAATAGGAGTCTTCCAGGAGTGAAGGTAGGGAAGGGCATTCTAAGAAACAAGATTAGCAGGTATAATGGGAGAGGGTAGGCAATATTAAAGGAATAATAAAAACCTATTAAGGAAAACTCCTTCTGGTCAAGAGATTAGACTATCTGGCCTAGGTGAAGGCCCAACATTCCAGTTGTGTTGGGTCAATTACCACCCCTCGGAAGGCAGGCTCATATTAAGCCACTCTAAAGAGATAAATGGAGTATTTTTTCCTTCAATGAGAGACTGTACTTCCCTTTCCCAGAATTCCTGCTCACCTTCTCCCATGGCACCATCTCTACAAGCAAGCACGATGTTTGGCTTGTCTTCCCACCATTCTGAGGCCTGAATCAGACAGGTGCAACTGCTCCTCTCTCTGGCTTCTTCCTTCTAGATGCTAGGCAGAACTGTACGTATGCTTTTTCTGATACTTTATGCTTCTTTACTCTTCCTTTAAAGCTCCCTTCCCTGCTGTGTGGCTGCTTACCCACCATGCATCTGACCTCTGTACCAGTCTAACTGGCATGGCTGTTTCCCTCCTCTCTGCCATCCTCCTCCTCTGGGCATCTTCTGTGCTTTGCAGCCTGTCTGTCCCAGAGCTTTCCTCTTTTAAACTCTGATAAGATTGTCCTCGAGCCTTCATTTGAGTTTAAGTGTCTTTTATTAATGAGACCAAGAACCCCAATAGGGGACCCCAACCTCCCCTCTACCATTTGGCGACCATGAAGGAAGACCAAATTTCCAGTGATAATAGGATGGATGTGAGATTGTAGTAAGGTTTCAGCTGGTGGGTGTATGCAGGAGAGAGTGGACAGGGTGGGTAGAGCCCGGGGAGTAGGGGTCCAAGATAAGTTGAGCCAAAATTAGAAAAAAATAGGGATTACAGATTTTAGGGACGGAGGAATGGGCCTTATTGTAGGTTCTGATGTTAGAAAGTAAATAATGGAATTAGCAAGTCTATGGAGAATGCCTCCAACAATGCTCTTGCAGAGTGCAGGTAATATCATAGCAAAGCTGCTGCTTTATGTGAAGCTCTTTAGAGTGTATCTTTGTTTTTATTGTTGTTATCTTGTCATGTTTTATTTTAAGAGCCAAGGCGTTACTATATTGCCCAGGTTGTTCTTAAATTCCAGGGCTTAAGCAATCCTCATGCCTTAGCCTCTGAGTAGCTGGTATTACAGACATGGGTCACCATGCCTAGTCTGGAACTGTTTATGTAACACCTCTAAGTAGCCTACTGAGGTGAACAATTCTGAGAGTCTTGCCCAAGACAATGTGTAGAAGGCAGGGAGGTGACAGACAGGCTTGAGCCACAGGACCCACATGACTTGACCTGGGTGGCTGTGATAGTGAGGTTAGGAAGGGACTGGGGTTGAGAATGTGAGATCGGGGAGATTTTAGGCTGGCCCAAGATGGAGTCTCCTGAGACACCGTGGTGGATAACCCATGTAGGAACGTGCCTCTTCAGGGAAATGGAAACTGAATGTTCTGCATTTTTCAGAAACCACATGACCCTTATCTCAGAAGGGCAGCTTGATCACAACATCCTGATATCCTAATGACCAGAAGTCCCCTCAAAAAGATTTTGCTCACAACAGTTAGTAGTAGCAGCAGCAGCATTGCTTATAGCACTTCCTTTCCCCTTAGTGCCTTCCTGCCATTCTCCCATCGAACAAAAAAACCACTCCATAAAATCCCAAACTCCCTTTCGGTGCTACTGCTCCCCCTGGAGAGACAGCACATGTGTGAGTCCACCTGCCAGAAGACCTGGATGTGGCCAAGGGGATCTTTCCATTTCCTGGTCCGACAAGCGGTTAGTTAGCAGCATCGTGAATGTGGCAGAAGACACTGAGGCCAAAGAACAGAGTGCAGCTCTGTCCATGGTCACGGCTTCCGACAGGTCCTGACTGAGCCTCGGTCACGGGAGGTGACACCGCAGGCAGCATGGACACACTGGTGAAGAGTGGGGGCAACACTCCGAGAGTGTGAATCCCATGTTCGCTACTTATGAATTATGCACTTGGGGGAAGGAGAGCTCCGGTTTCTGCCTCTGTTTTCTCAATATCCAAACTAGAGATAACAATAGCATCCATGTTACAAGCTGGTTGGGGGTGGAAAGTTAATGCATGCAAAAACAACTCAGTATCTTGATTTAGGAGACTGTTCCATTAGGCAAGCGAGTTTTTACGGTGCAAGTTGGTCTCATACACTTTAAGCTCTGCAGAGCAGAGTAGTCACAGGTAAGAAGATGGGAGGCACTGAAGGGGGAGGGGAGGGGAGGAAGGGGGCACAAAGGGGCCTCCTTGCTGTGCAGCTCCTCAGAATGCATCAGCACAGACACTGTCTCCACAGAGAGTCTTTCAAAGCCAACCTGAGATCCTGAAATCAGAGGTCTCAGTCAGGGCATGGTCAGTAATTATTTTGTTTTGTTTTGTTTTCTTCTTTAATGACCATTTCAGAGATAGAAAAAGAACTGGAGAAAATTATGAATGACAATTGTGTGCTCACAGGTCAGAAGAAGTCATACACCACAAACACAGAAATGACCACTGGCCAAACTTTACTCCATCACCCTCATGCATTCCTGAACTCTACCTCCACGGTTATGAATTTCTAAGCAATTGACACTACTTGGCACATAGTTGATGTGTTCTTGAAAGTACCTCAGTGTTGTTAGGTGTGTAGCTCAGTAGTTTAGCCCTTGCCTCCTAAAGCCATAGGTTTGCTCCTTCGAGGCTGTGGTGCATCGGTAGGGTTAGGAGCCAGTGCCATAGGTCCCTGAGGGCACTAGGAGATATGGGCTTCTGCAAGGTTTGATGCAAAGCAAGGAAAAAGAGACCTCTTTATACTTTTTGGCCCAACCAGGCTCCAAAATGGCTCTGAGATTGCCATTTTGCCAGCCTCTTCCACTAATTCTCAATCCTTTTAAGAACCTGCGCTTTACTTCCTTTTCAAATCCAAAGAAATATCCTCTGTGTGGATTACATTTATCTATCAATGCAGTCATACAATTTTCATACACTTGTTCTCACAGAAGGGGCCTGGGAAGGCAAGGGCGCCTTGGACCCCAACGGCGGCGACAAAGCATCTTGGCGCAGAGGGACAGGAGAGTTTCCACCCCTGCTATCACTTCGCTACAGAATCAACAGCAGCGGCCTCCAGCTTCCTTCTTTTATGTGAGGTATTAAAGGCCTTTTTGTGTAAGTCTCTATAAATCAGCCTCTCTGTTCTTTGCAGCTAACTTTGTGCCTCCCCCGCCCCCACCTCCCCGCCCCACAGCCTTCCTGCCTGGCTGGATGCCCTTCATGTTGTTCAGAGGACATAGGAAGGTGGTGAACTTCTGATCTCCTTTGGCCAGAAACTCCCAGGGGTCACAGCCTCCATTCACAATCATGTTTTTAGGATTTACCTCAAGTAGAGAATTCTGAAGCTTCTCACTGAGGGCAGCTTTCTCATCTTCCAGTTGCTTTATTTCCCTTTCTGATTTTGTCTTTACTTCTTCCAATTGAGCTTCTACTTCCTAGATGAGGATTAGAAAGATTAGCCACACAAGGTAGGAAAGCAGGCCACTTATACATCCACACCTTGCCTTATTTCTGAAGGGGATCAAAGAAGCTAGTAGAATAAAATACTGTAAGAGCACATGGATTCTAAGTACACAGCTGATCAAGAGAAAACAAATATTTAAATTCATACCACACAACCTGGCGCATATACAGATAGGTTAGAAAGTGGCAGGTGGATCCTTAACTCTAAATTTTCTAGCATCAAATAAGAAAAGGAATGTTCCAAGTGTTCCATAAGTAAAAGAAATCAAAACAGAAGAAACAAACAAGCAAAGAGCACCCAACTGCATTTTCATGGCATCTTCATGGCATACCTCCACAGGACCCATACAGTAGCTAGAATGATGACTCGTCCACAGTCCCTCCCACAGCCTTCCGGCATCAGTGTGAAGCAGTTACAGTCCGTTCTGGAGACCACGTGAGAAGCATTGCCTCATCTTAGCTGTGTCATCCTGAGCACATTTCCTCCTGTGTGTGCTCACTGTGTTCTTGCTGAGCACAGCAACAATTCAGTAAACGATAAGCACAGAGTCATCCCTAGGGCTGTCTAGCTTTTCCAATGCAACAATTCAATAAATGATAAACACATAGTCATCCCTAGGGATGCCTAGCTTTTCCAATACAGCTTAATTTATGGAGCAAGTCTCTGAATAGTTAGAGGAGGTCAGTCTATGGCTCTCCCCTGACATTTAGCTAGATAGCATCATTCATTCATCCAACAAATATTTACCAAGCTGTCCTACATGCTGGGTACTATTCTCAGAGTTAGAGTTAAAAAAAAAAACCCTTACATGCTTAAATTTAAGTGAAAAACAAACAAAAAAGTTAATAAGTACAATGTAATCAATACTATGCTTGATAGAGAAATAAAGAAAAGAAAGGGCTAAGAGTGGTTAGAGGGAGGATAAAATTTTGGATACTTTGGCCAAAGAAATGCTATGGAGAAGGTGGCTTTTGAGTGAGATGGGGAGGCAGGTGGACCTGTGGTGACAGCGTGGCTGGAGAGCAGGGTAGCTGTGTGGACTTGCTTGGAATGTTGGCAAGAGAACTCATTGAAAAGAAATGGCTCAGTGGTTATGAACACTAGCTGTTCTTGAAGAGGACCAGGGTTTGATTTCCTGCACCTACATGGTGGCTCACAACCATCTGTAACTCCAGTCCCAGGGCATCTGACACCCTCTTCTGGCCTCTGCACTCTCTCTCACACACAGACACATACTTAAAAATGAATATTAGCTGGGCGGTGATGGCGCACGCCTTTAATCCCAGCACTTGGGAAGCAGAGACAGGCGGATCTCTGTGAGTTCGAGGCCAGCCTGGGCTACCAAGTGAGTTCCAGGAAAGGCGCAAAGCTACACAGAGAAACCCTGTCTCGAAAAACAAAAACAAAACAAAAAAAATATTAAAACAAAAAAGCCCAAGCAAGACAACTATAAGAAACTCCCAAACTATACTATCTGAGGCTGTATCATCTGAAAAAGAAAGTGGAGAGCAGGCATTCTATGCTGGTTATGGACCTTTCTGGTCTAAATGAGAGTGGATGGGCATAATAAATGTGGTTTTAAGTTTACCAAGTGATGACTATTTGTGCGCAATGCTCACAGATGAATTCTTCAATATTTAGGTCCTACTGCTAAAGCTTATCATATAAAAAGAGGAAATAAAGTTTAGAGATGTGCAAAGACTTGCACAAGGTCATTCCTGCAGTAAGTGAGACGTCAAGGTGTGAATCAGGAACACATGGATTGGCTGTGGTCTCTGCTGATTTCTCATGGGAACTGTGGCACTTAATTCAGACAGGCGCTTGACTGGAAAGTTTCCCCGCTTCTGCTACAGAGAGGATGAGGGAATACCTGGGCCCATCAAAAGCAGGGTGGGGAAGCCGTACCAGCTCGAGCTGTCTCTTTACAGGGGAGGCACAAAAAGCCCTGGAATCTGTCGTCATCTCATCAGAGGTTTGTGTTCCTGGGGCAACTCTGGGTGTCAGCCAGAGAGCCCTGTCACTTATCCATGTACCCAGCAGAACGACTGTTGGTGGCCATGGCAGAGGAGCTTCAGTCAGCAACAGACCTTACAGAGGTCAATTCATCGAATAGCAAAGCTAAACCCTGGAGAAGCAAAGCCCGGGGCAGGGGTGGGGAGTGGGGGGCGGGGATGGGGTGGTCTCCAGAATGCCCCTTGCTCCTGCTGTGCTTCCGTCTGTTTGCTGCTGCCCTGTTCCCCCTGTAGTTGGCATGGTGTGATCGCTCTATGAAGGGATCCCACTGTATCTAGTTGAGTGTGATTGTTTCCTGGGGAAATCCCACTCTTCACCGGGCAATTTATTTGCAGATCATAATAGAAGTGATTTTCATAAGAGCAACGATACTTAGTTGAATGAATGATTTCATTGGACTTTCTGAGCTAGGCTAAACAGGTGGTTAAAAGAGTTAGTCAAGATGATTAGAGAAATGGGTTAGGTTATTCTGCCAATTGCTCCAGTAAGAGATACAGAAAACGCAAAGACAGTCTAGAAGTTACCTTCCCCTTTGTTAGATATGAGATTTATAGAAGATGAAAAATAAAAACAAGGAAGTTTCATGCATTATAGACTCATGAATTCTGCCTGTGGAAAACAGGCTGAAGTTTAAAGAAAACAATTACGTCCCTACACCCAAGGTTAGGCCTGAGTTCCTTAGGCATGCAACATACAGAATTAATCACAGACCTCAGTATGCACTTTGAAAAGACAAAGACATGAAAGGAAATTAAATGACCCTATTGTATATAAAGAAAAATAGATGGTTAGCTGAAGCCGCAAACAGCTGTCTGCCAATACAAAAGGAACTGGCTGAAATATACTTAGCTTGCTTAAAAAAATTTTAATTAGTAATAAAGGAATCATTGCTTTGGGGTGAAGATGCTTTTGTGGGAAAATTAATACCAAAAAATGTTTAACTACTTGTCAGCTTCTAAGGAAAATGTAACTTGTGATCTTAATGTGATTTCTGTTGTGGAATATTATTTAACCAGGCAAAGATATGTTACATTTGTTTTTGCTACAGAATATTACTTTAACTGTGTAAAGGTGTGTTACATTTGTTTATGCTGCATTTGTTTAATGATGTAAGGATGTGTTACACTTGTTTGTGCTGTATTTGTTTAATTATGAAAAGATGTGCTGCTGTTTTACCTTGCCTGTCTAAGGCACCTGATTAAGGTGATAAAAAGCTGAACTGCCAATAGCTAGGCAGTAGAGGGATAGGCAAGGCTGGAAGGCAGAGATATAGAAAGAGAAATCTAGTCTCAAAAGAAAAAGAAGAGAAGGAGGAGAAAGAAAGAGGGAGAAAGAGAGGGTTACACCCAGGGTCAGAAACTAGGCAGCCACCAGCCAGGCAGATACTGGAGGAAGCAGGAAAGTAAGACATACAGAAAGGAAGGTTAAAAGCCCCAAAGCAAAAGGTAGATAAGGAGAAACAGGTTAATTTAAGTTAAAAGAGCCAGCCAGAAATGAGCCTAAGCTAGGCCGAGCATTCAAAACTAATAATAAGTCTTTGTCATGATTTGGGAGCTGGTTGCTGGCCTAAAAGAAAAAGCCTGGTATAGATTTCTTATACCTATATATATCCTATATAAAGCTTTTAATTTGTTCTTGGAAAATATGTGGCTTATGGTTTTGAGATAATCTTTTTCTGCATAGAAATCGTTGTATTAGGAGGTATAAAAGGGATAAGTGAAAAATGAAGAGGAGAAAAGAAAAAGAGAAGAACAATATAGAAGGGAAAACACCAGGAAAGAAGCAGAAAGGAAACAGATGGAAAGAAGGAGAAAAAGGAAACAACCGGGGGAAGGAACAGAACGGGGAAAGAACAGAACAGGAACAACCAGCAGAGAGAAAAAGAAAGTGAAGAACTAAGCTTTGACTCTCAGATAAAGTTCCCTTATGTGTCTGTGCATCTGTTCCAATAGTTCGCCTATCCACATCTCCTCTCCAGTTTCTCTGACCTGCTGAGAGCCTGCTGGGCTCCTCAGTGGCAAATGACACCAACTGAACAGCTACAATACGCTAATTCCAATGATGAAGAGCTTCAGATACAGTCATTGCATGCTGGTAAATGTCTAACAGGTGGCTTTTCAAATATATAAATTAACGGATAGTAACACATTGATGGTAGCATTTCTTGGTTTTCATGGTATAAGTACTTTTACTGTGGCCAATGTCAAATTAGTACAGTGATGTAGAGTGTGAAACTGGAAAGAGGTATGACAACTGCCTCCTGAGCTAGTGCGAACTGGCTGCTATATAATATATATATGTTCTTCAGGACTTCCTGTTTGGGAATATATATATATATATCCCCAGCATCACAGAGCTGGACAGGTAAGACTTGAGAGAAGATTGACATTTAAACCAGGATTGCTGAGATCAGTAAGAACTAGGGTGAATTTGACAGTGAGGAGGAAGTTGTCTCCATCAAGTGAAATCCATGCACAAGGGCCCAAAGAGAAGGAACACCAAGCACATGAGGAACAAAAGGAGTGCAGAGTTGGACATAGGCTGGAGAAGGAGACAGAAGCTTGTCCCTGCAGGGTCTGAAGAAATATGGGAAAGAACTAATGTTCACTGTTGTGATGATAGGGAGCTCTGAGTGGCTGGCAGCCAAGGCTGAGCTGGCACAAGGTCTTACCAGGGTGGATTGGGTGATATGAAGTGGGGAGGGTGGAAGCAAACAGGTTATGACATGGTCCGTCAAATCATGGAGGTCTACCTGGAAGCTTTGAGGACAGAAGGATGTGCAGATGTTATGGGGCCATCAGAATAGAAAAGACTTCACATACTTCTGTGTTGAACAAGAGGGATGGAGAGAAATCCTATTTGATTCCCAGGTTTGTGATTTGAACACCTAAAAACATGTGCTATGGATCACCTGAACAGCATCTTCACATCCTCTGTGGGGCCAAGCCTAGACCAGGCAATGGCCCTGGGGTAGCCCTCAGCACTCTTCCTTTGGAGGAAAACATTTTTAAAAAGTCTAAATGAGCTTGTAATTAGATTGTTGGGCCTGGGTGACATGGCAACTTGGCATGCGGTCTCTCTTCGGTCAGCCTATGCTATGTTCTTCAGGACTTCCTGTTTGGGAACATTTGCTTCTTAAAAACAATATATAAATTACCTTGGCTACTAAATATGTTTAAATAAATATGTTAAAAAACACTTAGCAAAAAATTTTTTTTAATTTCACCAATTAGTTTCTCACCCACAGAAGCTTTTATTGACTAAAATCCAGTTTACCATGCTTACGGGTGTGGAAACGAAGTCTGCCAAGACACTCATACTGGAACAGCCAGTGAAAACACTCTGTGAGATGGCTTTTGGCATACAGGGAGGGCTGTTTTTGATTTTATGCAGCATAACTTTCTGGTACACATAATCAATCAGTTTCAGCTGGTGCCTTGACAGATGGACCTAGAGTGAAAAATAAAATCCCCTACAGGTGGAAATAACTAACGTCAGCAGTGAATTTGAGCATCACTAAGCTTTCTCTTAGGTGCTGGGTCATGTGGGCTACTGTGAGAACAGAGATCTGAGTCAGCTGGAGAAAAGAGAACAGAAAGAAGCATGCCCAGCTCAGCTAAGGTGACCTTGGGGATTTCAACAGAAGCATTCATATTCTCCCTCCACAAGGTCAAGAACATGGAATAAAGAGACTAATGCTTTCAAATATATGAGTCAATGCACCCTGAGAAGAGGATTCTGTGCACTGAGGGTTTATCAAATTCAGAGTGCCTTCCTGGACTCCGTCCCCACAGAACTCTTATATACCTAGCAGCAGGCTTTTACACGGAGGAAATCCTGCAGCTAAGAGGAGCAGGGCACAAGCATCACTGAGACCTTTTTCTGTCTCTTTGTCTACAATGTCCACGATTACCGGTCATTTGAGGAAATAAACAGCTGGGAGTTGTGGGGCATGCCTGAAATTATAGGAAGCCAAGGCAGGAGTTTGAAGCCAGCCTGGGCTACATGGCAAAACCTCCTCCACCTCAAATAAATGAAGGGGGAAAAGGCAAGCATGAAGGAAGGGACAGGAAGTGAAGGAGCCACTGTATCCAAAGTCTGCTTTCTGTTGCTAAGAACACAATATCAATGACTGAGTATGTTATAAAGACAGGAGAGGAGGTTTACTTTGATCCAAGGTCAAGGGGTCAAATTTGTTGATCACAAGTTTGAGATCTGCTTTGGCTACAGAGTGAACTCAAAACTAACCTGGCGCCAGGCGGTGGTGATGCACGCCTTTGATCCCAGCACTCGGGAGGCAGAGCCAAGCGGATCTCTATGAGTTCAAGGACAGCCTGGGCTACCAAGTGAGTTCCAGGAAAGGCGCAAAGCTATACAGAGAAACCCTGTCTCGAAAAACCACCACCACCACCACCACCACCAACAACAACAACAACAACAAAAACTAACCTGGCAACAAAATGATATGCTGTTTCTAAATACAGAATAAAAATAACTAGGGATTTAACTCAGTGCTAGAGTGAGTATATGCTGGGTTCTAGGCTTCATTTCTAGTACAGCATACACATCTATGTACATACACATAAAATCTCTCTCTCTCTCTCTCATGTATATATATATATATATATATATATATATATGTACGTACATGTATATATACATATATACTTACACACACACTATATATGTATATATATACATATATATGGTTATATGCTAGAGAGACAGCTCAGTGGTTCAGCGCATGTATTATTCTTAAGGAGAACCAGAATTCAGTTCCAAGAACCCTCGTTGGGTGATTATAACTCTATAATAACCTATAACTCTAGCTCAAGATGATCTGATATCTTACTTCCTCAGGAGCCCATGCATAGTGGCACACACGTTTAATTACAGCACTTGAGAGGCATAGGAGAGCAGATCTCTGTGAGTTTAAGACTAGCCTGGTATGCACAGAAAATGCTAGGCTAGCCAGGATGACAGAGTAAGACCCTGTCTGAAAAATTTTATCTCAATACAAAAGGAATATACCATCAGATTTATAACATGTAAAATAGAATGCATGATAACAAACATACAGAGGGCAGGAGAAAAGAAATTATTATAATACAGTTTTCCTATGTGAAGGGATATGATATTATTTGAAAAAATGTGATAAATTTAAAGATGCATATTATTAATCTTAGAGTAAACACTAGTTTTCCATCTGCAAAAGAGAGGCATAAGAAGTCAAAAGTGGAGATAAAAATGAAATACCAAAAATACTCAATGCATCAAAAATACACAGTAAAAGTGGAGATAGTTAACAAATGTGACAGGAAGATAAAAATGTCAAGTTAGAAGGCTTAAACATTAAATAAAGTATAAATGGTCTAAATGTCCTTAAAAGGCAGAGATAGTAGAACACAAGTCTATCACTCAAGCTGTTCAGTGGATTTGGGACATTAACATTCCTTTGGTAGCTGCCAAGTGGAGTCTCCTGAACTTACAGAAAACTACCTATTACTAAATTCCTTTTCCTGCTAAACAGTCCAACGGATCTGTGAGTCCCAGGAGGAATTGTAAGTATACAAATGAAATGGGAAATGCAGACACGTTGAGCAGATCTTGGGAGAGCTCAGTAAATCTGTTTCCTTCCCTTCCCAAATAAGCACTGTGTGCAAATGTTAATTACAGGACATGCACTAAGTTCCATCTACCAAGATGACGTGATGATGTCCCCTAGTCCCGTGACCAGGAAAGATACTAGTCTTCTAGGCCAATCCAGCCCACATCCTGCCATTTGATCCTTTAGGTCAGGGTAGTATTTAGGATGTGCAATCTACCCACACTACCCACACTAAAGGCTCAAAGAAATAAAGCTCTTCTAATGCTACAGGGACAACTTGTGTCTATTTTTAGCTCATACACCCTCAATCGGAGGCCTCTTCAAGGCTTTATCATTCCCATGTTGTCTCATTTACAGTACTTTTATTTCCAGATTCAAATATGAACAAAATAGTAAAACAATAACAGGAACTAAACAGTTTACTTCTGTGTGATTTATTTCCCAAATGGACTTGCCACCTGATCAAGATCGAAGTAGGATTTGTACACTGAGAGTCAGATTTGTCCATCAGGTTACCAGGGCAACTTGCAACTTGAGAAAGTGGCTGTCCCTCCAGCTGATGGGGTACCAGGATGGAGTGTTAGCCTGTGTTTCTGAAGATTGTATATGTACAGTTCATAGAAGCTCATAGGAGAAAAATGCTTTTAAAATGACCGTTTTCTCCATGAGAAGGTGGGGAGCCCCAGGCTTTGGTGACTGTTGGCTTTGAACTGAAGCTCTCGTACCCACTATCTGTCTGACTGATACACTGCATCTCTGGACTCAGTTTCTTACTCTCTAACATTGAAAAGATTCAAAGTGTTTGTGAACACTCAATATAAATTATAATAGGTACTCTATCTTTATTCCACATGCTGTCCAAAGCACATGGCAATCAACAGTAGCTGCTGTCTATTCAACTGTTACTTCACACTACCCACCCAGCAAAAGGTTCATATGGAACACCATATTTAAACGTGCATAACAAACCCTGTCTTCATAGAGGTTAAGGCCCACCATAGAGAGCCTGTGGAAGAGTGAAAGCTTAGGCCAGGAATAGTGTTTGTGTTTCATGTGCTCATATTTATTTATTCAATACATATTTATCAAATACTTAATGTTTTAACCACTGTATAACACTGTCCTGCAGAGATATCTGATTATCTTTCAGTGAACACTCAACACTGGTACTTCTCACATCACAAAGACATTTATTTCATAATCAAATGAAGTCTTCACTCATGTTAATAACAGTATTGATTTACATGCCACCCTTTTTGAGGCAGGGTCTCCATGTAGAGCCCAGTTTGGCTCTGAACTCATGATCATCCTGCCTCAGCTTTCTGAGTGCCGAGTATTCTTCCCTACAGTCGTCCTTCACGTGACACACTTTTTCCAGCTAACAGGAGAGAGGAGGGTCCCACACACTCTCTGTGGGCAGCGTCCCATCTGTGTGGGAGGTGAGAGCAGCGTAGAAGCAGACGCTTTATTTCCTCAGATGGATTTTCTCCTTTAATCCTCACAGTACTCAGAGAGGTTCTGTTAACGTCTTAACAGAGGAACTTCCAGAATGCAGAATTTCTGAGACTAGGTGGGACGGGCAGCTAAATAACTTCCTGTGGGCAGTGGAGTCGGAATTAGGGTCTAGGAAGTACTGGAGGCCTGAGTTTTCAGTTAGTGGAGTTTTTCTGTTTTTGTTGTGTAAGCAGGGTTGAATTTTCCCTAAGTCAAATGTCACATGACACCATCCTGCTCCACGTCAGCAACTCCAGAAGCTAGCGTGCTCCACTCTCAGGTGGCCCCGCCATCGCCCCAAGAGCCCCTGTACTCCCTCTGGGCACTGACTGTTTTCTTTACTGTCATCAGAGAACCAGGCTGGGTGGGCACACAGCAGGAGCACAATACAAGTCTGGGTAAGGAAAGAGGAAAGGGGAGCGGGAAGGAGGTGGGAGAGAGCGAAAACCCCAGAACAAGCTGCAAAGGCTGCTCACCTTCAGCTTCTGTCTTTCCACCTCCACAGACGAGCGCACCGACTTCATTTCCACGGTGTGCTTCTTCACCAAGTCCTCCAGGCGCTTCCCCAGCTGCTCTCGGAGCTGCTGCTTCTCCTCTTCAGTCTGATGTCTGACTTTACGCAGGTCTTCTTCGTATTTCTGCTTCATGCGTTCTATTTCACCGTTTGCTTCTTTCTGGGTCTATAAAGGGAAATAAAACTTTGTAAGACTGCTGGGGAGAGATGAGGCCCACGTTTCTTTCCTACATTTTATATACTGATTTCATAGCAAGTATCAGATGGTGTGAAACATTTTACAAGACTATATATTTGATATTTGTAAGAGATTTCACTGTGCATACCATTGGAAGAGAGCTCTCTAGAATACCAAGTCTGTCATAGGATGTTCCAGCCCACAGTTTAGTTTCTAAAGAACATATTGTTTTGAGTGGAAATAGGATCTAAGCAATGCCTATTTTCTCTGGTAAATACAAACTTGGGAAAATTCTGCCACAGTCTTGTTCTCCTAGGTTTGAATGGCATGGAACTGGCAAGAAACTGGTCAGGGGCTGGAGAGATGGCTCAGTGGTTAAGAGCACTAGCTGCTTCTCTCGAGGACCCAGGTGTGACTTTCACTCTCCACATGATGTCTCACAACCATCAGTACCTCTGGGTCTAGGGGATCCAATGCCCTTTTCTGGACTTTGTGGATATCAGGCATGCAAGTGGTACCCAGACATAAATACAGGCAAAGCATCCATACACATAAAATGAAGTAAAAAGAACTGGTGAAGTCCTGACTCTCTCGTCATCTACCCCTGAATAATGGGGCTTGAGGTTCCAAGTGGATCCACCAATGTTAGGGGATGGCCTCTACCTGAAGCTCATGCCAACCTCCTGTGACTTTTCCACTCCCGCTTCTATCAGAAGCTACCTGTGTTTCTGAGCCTCCTTCACCACAGTGGCACAGCTTGGGCAAGCCTTGGTCCTGCTGAGGGTGAAGGCTGCAGGCTTCCAGGTCATTGGTTTTGCTCAGGACTTCCGTCTCAGTCTTCACGTCATCTGCAAGGGTGAGTTTCAACATCAGTTGAGATGCTCATGTCCAGGGCCTTTTGAACATAGTTCTGCTGCTCACCCATCCTGCTTACCACGCCTCTGTGTAGTCCCTGCAGCCCTCAAGTGTGGTCAATGTAATGATTCTAATCTTCATTCCAAACAGTATCCTGAGTTTAAATAATGGCCACATTCTGCCTTCCTGAATAAAAATGTTATCTCATGTTCCATGAGTTTAAAAAGTTGATCATGTTTTCTAGTATATGTATGTTCATGAAAGTTCAAGGAGAAGTAATAGATATAACTCTTTCTCCCTTCCTGCCTTTCCTCCTTCCTTCCTTCCTTCCTTTCTTTCTTTTTTTCTTCCTTTCTTTCTTCCTTTCTCTATTCCCTGTGGCTATTTCTAAACATTATTGTTTTAAACCCTCTGTTTCCAACATTTTAAACCTCTTCTCTTCACCTTTCCAGCCTAGGGAGTCTCCCCCCTCCCCCAGCCCTTTGACACCTTGGTCCTCTGCTCCCTCGGCCACACCCCTATCCTAAAGCATCATGGGCTACAATGGAACCATATCTCAAGCTTCCCAAAGACAGAGCCCATGTTTCCTGCCTTTGCCATCAATCCTGTCATAGGTCAAGTCTTCAAGAACTTTTGGTTGTGGAATCCTAGATAAAGACACTTAGAGTTAGATGTATTTATATCTAAACACTAGCGTTCATCACCAGACATTTAGTTGACCTTCGATCAGCCATTTATCCTCCCCTGGCCTCACTTAATCTTCTATAACATGGGACAATGACACCTGTCTCACAAAATTATTGGCAAGACCCAGTAATGGAACTGTGTGAAAGGCTGCTAAAATTACAAAACCCTGATCAGTCATGCAGAAGAAAAAGCAAAAATGCAGGCATCATGGACAGCATTGTGAGGGTAAGGAGTCCCTTTGTATCAAATCTTTTAGACATCTGGCCTTTGCAGCCCCAGGTGAGGAGCTGGTGTTGACTCATCTGTACCCAGAACAGTTTTGATTCATCCTCTTAGCAGGTCCGATACAATGGCCCTGTTCCTGCTCTCTCAGTCTAGAGACTGTCCCCCCAGCACCAGACCAAACCTGGTGGCTAATCCTCCATTCGAAAGAAATCAATCCGGGGCATCTCACCAGCTTTCGGTGTCACGTGACACTCCTGGAGCATCAGCCTGTCTTTGGCAATAGCCAACTTCTCGCCCAGTTTCCTTGCGGTACTCTTCAATTCTGAATTCTCCTGCCGAGCCTCCCTCAGCTGCACATCGAGGTCCTAAACAGAGGGCAGGTCTTAGGTTTCTGAACGGGGATGCCAAGTGCCCAGAAGAGCTGCTAGATCTGAAAGGTGGCTGAGGAGGGCACAGCGCGGGTCAGGAGGCTCTAGAATTACCAGCTCTGGGGTCAGCAAAGCCTTACCCACCCTCCCATGGTAGTGTGGCACTGGGCAAGTTATTTATCCCTTCTCCAGAGAGGACAGGATAAGATAAAAGTATGTCGAAAATACTCGGGGAGTATTAGAAATGCTAGCTGTGGTTTTGAGAGATGGAGTCCTGTGCTTCTGTAGGGCTTACAAAACTGAGTCATCAATGGTTCTGCTCTCTTTGAACAAAAACGTCCTAAGGGCTTTAGGAGAGTCAAGTATTTTTACAGAATGAGCACATAAAATTAAAATAATTTAGAATTAGACTTGTCAGAGTTGAAAATTTTACAGGGCAGCCACCTGGACTAGGCATTCAGCGCCCACTCCCACGCTGGGATTATCTTCTCATCTGTAAACTGTAAGGCTTGTGCTCTCTGAGGTTAGGGACAGTCTAGCTCACTGTGCGTCCCCTGACCATAAACCTAGACCTAGTCCAAAGTAAGTATTTAATAAAGACTTGTTGAATGGACGTGGGAGAACTGATACCAGCAATAATACCGACCTTGGTGGAACTGGAGTGCTTAGCACAGTCCCTGGCTAGTGGTGGGTGTTCAGAAGTAGTCTCTGCCTATCATCCCCTGCGGAGGAAGAAGAGGCTTACCTGGATCCTTTCTTTCAGTTTCTGGGCATACTTCTTGAGGTCACTTATCTTGCGCCCTCTGTGTTCCAGGTCCCCTTCCAGCTTCCTGACCTGAGCCTGCAGGGCCGACTCCTGGACCTGGAAGTTCTTTCGAAGGCCTGACTCTTTCTCCTGCCACTGCCATAGGGCCTCGCTGACAGACTGCTGCATGGCCTGCCGGATGGCCTCATTTTCCCGCTCATAGGTGGCCTGTAGCTCCTCTGCTTTGCGGGCATAATCCTGGCTCAGCTGCTGGTTCTCAGCTCGCAATCGCTCTACTTCCAGCAAGACCTCGTGCATCTCCGGTCGCTGGCCGGACTCTGCCGTGGCATCGGGGCTGTCTTGGGATAGCTGGCCCCACTGGGGCCCCTCATGGCTGGTCAGCAGCTGGAGTCTCTTCTCATAATCAGCCTTGAGTTCCAGCATCTCCTTGGAAAGAATCAGGACTCGCTCAGCGTGCTCAGCTTCCACCCGAAGTTCTCTCTCTTTAGTTTCCAACTTACAGGAGGCTGACTCAGCCAAGGCCTCTTGGGTCAGCCTCTTCTGCAGCTCCAAGGCACTCTCCAGGGTCTGGATGCGCTTTAGAAGCACCTCTGCATCCTCACTGGTGCGTTCCTGTTCCTGCAAGAGCCTGGCCCTGGTTTCAGCCACTGCGTCCTGGAGCTCCTCCTGGTGGGCTTCCCTTAGTGACTCGGCACTGGCCTCTGCCTCATCCTGGCGAGTATTCAGGGCATAAATCACCTGCAGGACAGCAGACAGAGCACAGTTAGGGCAAGCAGGTGGTGCATGGGAGGGTGACTGTGACCAGAGAGGCTTGGCCTCGACACTGAGATCCTGTCACACATGCAGTGCCTGAGAAAAGGGTTTTCAAGGTAGCCATGACTTGGTATATTAGAAAGGGTTCCTAGGAGAAGCCAGTAAGGGAGCAGGGAAGTGAGACAGGCAGGTGGTGGGACCAAGGTCAAGGAGCGATAAGCACAAATGTTTGGGAGGGAATTTTTGGTGGAACTGTATAAAGAATCTCCTGGGTACAGTGGGAATCCAGGGAAGGGTTTTTAAAGGAAAGAAACAATGTGACCTCATTTGTTAAAAACAATGCCCTGAGATACAAAGATCCAATAAAACCTTAGAGAATTGAACCCAGCAATAAACTTAATAGGCACAGGGGTAGCATTTAAAACAAACAAACAAAACAGCATCTTTCTTTTTTTGAGAGAAGATTTCTCTGCATGGTCCTGGCTGTCCTGGAACTTGTTCTGTAGACCAGAGTGGCCTTGAACTCAGAGATCAGTCTGCCTCTGCCTCCTGAGTGCTGGGATTAAAAGTGTGCACCACCATGACTGAAAACCCATTATCTTCCTATGAGTAAAAAAGACATTTTTTTACATAGCAAACTATAATTTGAAGGGAAACTCCTCAACTTGACAGATCACACCTATGAAAACCCATGGTTAATAACCATACTCAGCCAGGCAGTGGTGGCTTGAGCCTTTAATCCCAGCACTCAGAAGACAGAAGCAGATGGATCTCTGTAAGTTCAAGTCCAGCCTGGTCTACAGAGTGAGTTCCAAGACAGCCAAGGCTACCAAAGAAATCCTGTCTCAAAAAACAAAACAAAAAACAAAATTATACTCAATAAGAAAGAGTGAATATACTTTCTTCAGAAGATCAGGAACAAGGCAAGGATTATCTGTCCACTCTACTCCTAAAACAAAAGAAAGACAAACGCTGCTTTGCCAAGTGGAGAATGGTACGGAAGGGGCTTAGAACCCATGCAAAGCCCAAGAATTGAGAATGATGCCCGGGAAGTTGATCTGGGAAACAGGTATGTTGACTGAGATTTATAAAATCTGTAGGAAGAATGATCTCTTCAAGTCTGAGATCAGCCTGGTCTACAGAGTAAATTCTAGGCTATTCAGGCCTACATTGTGACACACTGCCTCAAAATAATAATGATGATGATGATAAAGAATAATAATAATAATAATAATAATAATAATAATAATAACAATAACACCCTAAAAAATTGAAGGTAGTCTGAGTGTGGTGAAGAAAATCCGGAATTGTGCTTGGCAGTGTTTGATAAGCCTCTAGACATAACTGGTGGAGAAGACACCAAGGCAGGAGCTCCGAGGGGAAAGTCTGAGCTCGAGAGGAAGGGCTGCCCAATGAAAAGTTACACAGTTGCCGCTGTTTGCTACAAAGGGGTCTAAAATATATCCGTGTGTAAGTCGAGAATGACAGAGAACGCAAAAGAGAAGCTCCAGGAACAGAGGGAGTAAAAGATCAAATTCCCTGGAAAGGGTGTCTCACAGAGATGGGTCTTCCACAAGAGACAGAAGGAAGGGAGAGATGGGAACAGGTTCATGGTACTTGTGACAGGAGAATGAGGAAGCCATCACATGCAGAGGTGAGAAGGTGGCATCTACATTCTCAGCCAAGAAGAAATTAAGGTCACCACATAGTGGATTCCTATACTGCTTCACCTACGCTTTGCAAACTGTGGCCTTGTTCTCCTGAATTCTTTGGAGGTGGAGTGTCATTTCAGGGTGCTTGGCAGAGACAAAGCAGGTGTAAATGCTATTCTTCTCTTCAGAAGAATAGCATTCATATTAGAGATCCCCTTTTATGGAGTTTAGGAAAAAAAAACAAAAGGTTTCCATTGCTTTTTTAAAAAATTGAAACAATTATTAAATAGAGAATAAATCTGTTTAGAAAGGGTCTATGAGAGGAAGTCTTGGTTACCCCCTCTCTGTGTGTGTACACCTTCATAATTACAAGATAATTCATAAAGAAGGCCAAATGCATCACCAGAGGTGGTCAGCATATCTTGATTTAACAAGAGTTTACTAGAGACCACAGATCTCGAAGGAAGAGTAAGTTCCCAGGATACAGATAACATCTGATGTTTCATTACGTCCTTATGATAGTGGTATTGACTTACTTTTTGCCTTTGCTAACAGAACGCTGGCTCCATGAAAGAGGAATTTGGTTTCTTGATCATCATTATCTATCCCCATGCTTGGTTCTAAGTGGGATGCTCTCAAAAATCCTCAAATGGCTAAGTGAGAGTGACATGGCCTGATGGAATCATAAAGTCTTAGGAAAATCAGATCCACTTTAAAAACCACGAATCCAGCAGCATCCTGTGTGTGTGTGTTCTTGTTCTCAGCCTCCCTCCCACTTTCTGCCTCTCTTCCTCCCATCCCCGATGCACTCTCCCAGGAGGACTCCACAATAAATGAAGCTACTGTCTCCCCAATTCCACCCTCACAACTCTGCACACCATGCACAGTATTTAGCCACTTGTGGTGGGTTCTATGGTCTCCTAATGACTTTTGTCTAACAGCATATCTTTAGTAAGTGAAGTTGAAATTGATATCCCACTGGCTGTGATTTGTGTTAATAATAAAAAAAACATTTTGTGGGGGTAGGAAGGGAGAGAACAAGGGAATCTGTGGCTATTATGTAGAACTGAATAGTATTGTAAAATAAAATAAAAAAAAGTTAATAAAAACATTTTGTGCCTACTACATAAATAGGTACTGGATACACATTTTTCGTTTCAGAAAATCCCCATGGTAACTCTACAAAGATGGTACTTTTTCTTCTTATTCTACCACTGAGAATTGAGTTGCAGAGAAGTCCCACAACTTTTAGAAAGCCTAAAAAGGTATAATCAGGAATATGCACACCTACTGCCCAGGACTGCAGTCTGTCTCACTGATTCTTTTAGTCATTTATTTATTTATAGATTTTCTGCACACTTGGGAAGAGCTAGGTTCCACAACAGGCACTGGAAACATACATAATTGAATTTTCAACCTTAAAAATAATACTCACTGCACTGTGGAAATGATTCAGCAAGTAAAATGCTTGCCATGAGGACTTAAATTGGCTCCCCAGGACCCAAATAAAAGCTGGGTGTGGTGACATGCTTGTAATCCCAGCATGGGAGAAAAAAAAAAAAAAGCAGGATCCCTGGGTCTTGCTGGCCAATCTAGCTTAATCAATGAGCTCCAGGTTCAATGACAGACCCTACCCTAAAGAATAAGTAAATACATAAACAAACAAATAAATAAATGGCTGAGTCAGGCTTGGTAGCATACAGCAGTCAGAAGGCAGTGGCAGGCAGATTTCTTTGAGTTCAAACCTGGTCTGTAAAGCTCCAGGACAGCCAGAGTTTCCCAGTAAGATAGACCCTGCATCAGAAACAAATCAAACCAAAAAGATATAGACAGAGATTGATGAGGAAGCCACCTGATAGTGACTTCTAACCTCCATATATACTGGTGCGTGTATGCACGCGCACACACACACACACACACACACACACATATGCACGCACGCACAAAATATACATAAATTGAAGTATAAATATATATTTGAAGTGTGTGCATGTGTGTGTTTCAATACATACCGACAAGTGCTATGAGGGTCTACACGTTACTGTAGAAACAGAGGCAGGACTATGATAGGAAACACCTTCCAGGAAAAAGTGAGCCTTTCTGTCTCTTCAGTCTTAAGGTAATCAAGTCCCTTTCATTGTCAATTTCTGAATCCACAAGAACAAATTCACTTCTCTGCATTCATCTACAGCACTTTAGATGAAGAGGAAGGCACAATAGGCTCATAACAAGTGTCCGTGATGGAATTGATGCAGATCATCAATAATGCATATACCTCCCTCCCACAGAGAATAATTGCTGCTAGGAACAGACGTCAAAAGAGACAGTGTTTCCTAGTCACTTGCACTGACCATCTGAGTAGAATTTGGGTAGATGGGATAATGAGTTGCATCTTAGGGCCAAAATGGGGTTAAGATTATGAAAGGTAATCTTCCCAGGCCTTCCCAGTCTTCCTGTTGCCATTCATAGACATAAAACTCAGAATTTACAGGTTAGATTTAAAATGAAAAGCATCCGAGACCTGAATGACCAAGAAGGGTTGCCTACCCACTGAGAGCACGGGACATAACCTAGAAATGAACATTGAGCCCCTGACTTGGTCTCGTCTAGTATGATATTTGTTAGTTGCCCTGATGTAACAGAGGTTGTAAAGACTACCCCAGGATGGGTGATTCACTGGAGGACTCACAAGCTGAGCACATATTCATACTCATGGCTGTGATTTATTGCAGTGAATCAGCCAAGGAATAGCTAGCTGCCTGTGCCTGGGAGTAAAGCTGAGGGCAAGCTTCCAAGAGTCCCCTCCCACAGGAGCTAAGTCACTCAGTGAGACTTTGTGGCAATGTATGTAAAATAATCTGCCAAGGAAGCTGTGAACAAGGACAACAACAACAGACGTGCCAGAGTGGATGGGAAAAGACCAGGAGGCCTCAACCCTACACAAAAAACTACAAGCAATTAAGGAATGCTGAAGAGTGGGGGAGATATTCTTCCCCAGGGGAGAGCACACTAATTGGTTTATCCAATACCAAATGGCCAGCCCCAAAAACATACTTAAAAGTAACATTATACAGACCAGGCAGATTATATATATATAACAGCAATTAAGGAAAAAAGAGAACATGAATTTGAAAGAGAACAAGGACAGATGTGTGGGAGGGTTTAGACTCTAATAGAGGAAAGAATGGGAAGGGAGAATGATGTAATTATAATCTCAAAAGTAAAAGAAAAAATATGTAGCAACCAAGGTTTTTACCGCTCAGGCAAGCAGCCTCTACCTGACATGCACCAAAATTCTAACCCCAAAGAAGAAAAGCAGATATTCAGTAAAAA